CGAGCAAAATAATTATTTTGGATACTTAATCAGGCAACATATGCAGGACATAATAGCTAAAACCTCAATGTTACCGTATGAGGAGTTAGTCACACAGATTAATGCTTACCTATAATATTTATGTCTCACCCGATGAAAAAATAATCTAGGTCGATCGATTTAACATTATCAACAGAAACCTACTCAAGATACTTATGTGCACTTTTGGTAATGGTATATGGATTAGGCAACCTAGAAGGACTGATCTAGTTCCCCCACCAGTAGAACACCCTGAAACACCCATTTTTAGGGGAAATGAATCTCCTCCTCCTAGTCCCTTTGGTGCAGCACCTTCAGAACCAGCTCCTGCTTCATCTTCTGAAGATCTCATCATGACAGAATTAAATCAAATCAAATCACAACAAGAGCAACTCAAATCACAGCAAGAGCAAATCCAATTACAGCAAGTTGAAATTTTGAGGGAACTACGACAGATGAACCAGAAAATAGATGTCATGTATAGGAACTCTGAAATTCCTCCTAAGGAATAATTATTGTGTTAAACCATTCTTATTATTGTAAATCTCTATGCTACCTTGACATACGTTTGCATTATCCTAGTATATGATGTTGGATGTTTCTTTCCGAAATTTTGTCAACATTTTGATGGCACCTTCATGTTATTTTGGATGATTTGATGTCTTCCTTGAATGATCGATCTTAATGCCAAGTTGAAGCTTTGTCAATTTTGTCATCTCCTTTTCAATATTTTTTTCTTATGAGATGATTTTATGAATGGCTTCAATGATCACGAGTTTTATGCTTGAAACCTCATCTCCTTTTTTATGATGACAAAGGGGGAGAAGAATGTGCAAAAGATTGATGACTTGTGCAAATATAAAATTAGCATTACTTATATGTATTGTATTGCAATAGCTTATATGTATTATATAATGCAATGAAAAATATCTTATATGTGTTATATTCCTTAAAAGCATCGCAAAACTTTTTAAACATATCCAATATGAAAGTTTTTAGATTGGTTGTCGTATCATGCTTATCAAGTGCATTATGCACCATTTCATATGTCATCAATATACCAAGTTCTTTAAGTGGAAAAATATTATCTTTTGTTTCTTGTAAAGCTGTTATTTTTTAATCCCACTTCTTAGAAAGAGAACGCAAAATCTTGTTCACGAGTTTAAAGTTCGAAAAACTTTTACCAAGTGCTGTTAGACTATTGACGACATCCGTAAAACGGGCATCTGCATAAGCTATTAAATCAATATTATCGGATTTTAGATACCATAATCCTAAACTAGGAGTTCCTTTAAGATATCTAATAATTCTTTTAACACTTTTAAGATGAGACAATTTATGATTAGCTTGAAACATAGCACAAAGTCCTACACTAAACATGATATCCGATCTAGTTGCGGTGAGGTAAAGTAAAACAAACAATCATTCCCCTATATATTTTTTGATCAAAGTTTTCATCACTTTCATCCATGTCTAACTTAGTGGAAGTACTCATAGGAGTGTTTATAGCTCTAATACCAATTGTTAGGAAAGCAATCGACACTAAGGGGAGGAGGGTGAATTAGTGCAACGGTAAAAATCACGTCGGTTATGAAATTTTCTCGTTCGTTGAAAACCAATCTAAAAAATATGCTTGACTTGAAAGAGAGTTCGTAAAAGTATTGAAAGCAGTAAGCAAGTAAAATGGTTTGTAGTTTAAAGTAACTTGCTCAAAGGAAAAACAAACCAGATTTTAGAGTGGTTCGGTCGTCGTGACCTATATCCACTTCGTCGATTCCTCTTCCGTCGTGGCCACCGGCATCCACTATCAGTCTTCTTTCAATGAGCGAAGACCAACTACCCTTTTACACCCCTCTTCTCCTTTTCACAAGTTTAGGAGACAACCTTTTACAACCCTTTTTTACAAGGTATCCCTCTCACACCTCCCTTAGAACTCTCTCTAAGCTTTGAGAGAAGGGAACTAAACTTTCTAAGGTTTATAACTTTAGAATCACAGGGTTTTGCTCAATATTTCTTTCTCGGTTGTTTCCAACAGCACTTCCGACAATTCTTCGGACTTTCGGTAGACTCTCGAATACCCATCGAACTTGACTCCGGTAAACTTGATTTATATCTTTAAGCTATCGTAGTTAATCCTGCACACTTAACTCAATAATATGGATTAGTTCAATTAACTCATCAATTGATTTCATCATCAAAATCCGAAGAAGTGTATGTTGAACAACCTCCCGGATTTAAAAATTCTCTTCTTCTTAATCATGCATTTAAATTGACTAAGGCCCTCTATGGCTTAAAACAAACTCCTAGAGCTTGGTATGAAAGGCTTAGTTCATTCTTTTTTTTAAATAATTTTACAAAAAGCAAGGTTGATACTACATTATTTATTAAACATTTTGAAAATAATTTTCTTATTATTCAAATTTATGTTGACGATATTATTTTTGATTCTTCGGATGAATCACTATGTGAATCATTTGTCAAGTGTACGAGTCATGAATTTGAAATGAACATAATGAGAGAATTAACCTTCTTTTTAGGATTGCAAATTAAACAACTTAGTAATGGTATATTTCTTAATCAATATAAATATACATTAGAATTGTTAAAACGATTTAACATGGATGGTTCAAAAGCTATAAACACTCCTATGAGTACTTCCACTAACTAGTAATGGTTTACTTTAACTCACCGCAACTAGACCGGATATTATGTTTAGTGTAGGACTTTATGCTAGGTTTTAAGCTAATCATAAATTGTCTCATCTTAAAAGTGTTAAAAGAATCCTTAGATATCTTAAAGGAACTCATAATTTAGGATTATGATATCCAAAATTCGATAATTTTTATTTAATAACTTATGCAAATGCCGATTTTGGCGGATGTAGGATAGATAAAAAAAGCACATCCGGAACATGTCAATTTTTAGTACATGTACTTGATTCTTGGACTTCCAAGAAATAAAATTCGGTTACACTATCTACGGTGGAAACCGAATATATAGCTGTAAGTGCATGTTGTGCACAAGTTGTTTGGATGAAAAATACGTTGGAAAACTATGGAATTTACTTAAAAAACTCTTATAAAATGTGACAAGTGTTATTTATCTAACCAAAAATCCAATTCAATAACTGGGCGATACTACCGTCGTTGATTGGACACTGGGCGGTACTACCGCTGGCAGCACTACTGTCGACGGTGCTATCGCCCAGAAACCCAGGGGCACTATCTTCCAAGCAGTACCACCGTCGGCCATGTTTTCAGGGGCTAAATTAGGTGCTTAATTTGGCCCAATTCAGCCTTGTTAAGGGCCCAGTTGGCCCATAATTAAGTTAGTGGGTTTACCTTCCAATCCTAACTTAATTTATGTTCTAACTACGATAATTAAGACATGTTTACTGCACTTCTTGTTCCGATGCGTCAATTGCTCTTCTGGCGAACATCCGACGAACTCTCGGCAATGGTCCGACGGACTCCCGGCAATGCTCCGACGGACTCCCGGCAAGCTCCTAGACTTTGTGACAAGTCTGACGATCTTCTATGATAAGCTCCTAGACTTCTCGGTTGGTTCTCGCAGAACTTCCGACGAACTCTCGAACTCCCAACGTGATCTCGATCTTGACTCCGGCACAACACCTGCTTTTATGTCTTACTGCTATCGTAGTTAATCCTGTACACTTTTTTCAACATATAGATTAGATCAAACAAATTACAATTGACTTCATTATCAAAATTTGAGATTCAACAATCTCCTCCTTTTTTATGATGACAATCAATTCATGACGGAGTTAACCTTAACGTGGAATGTATCGGTGGAGAACAATAAAGAGAAAGAATTTCTAAAGTCAGACATGAGCCTATCACGTGGAATGTATTCTTAGAAAAGTTCAATAATAAGTATTTCTCAAATTATATCAAAGGCCAGAAAGAATTAAAGTTCTTAAATCTTATCTAAAGAAATTTGATAGTAACAAAATATGAAACTAAATTTAATGATAAATCTTGAAAGATAAAGAGAAAGGGGACTAAGGCCAACAATAAAAAGTCGTATATCAATTTTAAAGCTTCGAACATATGCTGATATGGTAAAGAGAGCTATGATAATCGAAGAGACATAAATCAAATTCAAGAGATCTGGGACAAGAATAATAAGGACAAATTCACCGATAAGAATAAGAGAAGAAATGAATTAAAAATTGATAACAAGTAGGTTAATACATCTAGATTTGAAAAAAGGTAAGTTATCATAAAAGACTCAATCATATGCAAAATATAGGTTAAATCATAAAACAAGTCAGCATTTTCAGATGACTGAAGCCTGTTTTGCCTTTGGAAAGTTAGATCAGAAAGTAAAAGATTATCGCCTGAATAAGTAAAAAGAGTCACTACCTCTTAGATCGTCGGTCAATGCTAGAATGTATGCTATTATTGAATAGGATTCCAGAACTTCTAAATCAGTGGTCGAAGATATAATTCATGTTCTCCAATATAAATCAAACAAAATGAATAAATCAAGTTTGTTGTCAAAGAATCCCCACCAACAATAATTACATATAACATATAATCAAGTGACCTAGGTTAAACACCCAAATGATAAGCAAAATATTATGAAACACATGAAATGAACATTTACTTTTAAACCACATCTTTCCATCTCATAGAGCCTCTTTTTGCTATCACACCACAATTGAGAAATCAAACTCTTACAAGAACATCATTTTGTTTAAAAAAGAATGCATGAAAATTGTTGACAGTAAAGTTACCTTCTGTATCCTAAAAAAGAGATACTCATACACTCGAGAAGCCATCCCATAGTTGACACTATGTCTGCATATTCCACCTTTTGTGTCTCCTAATATGAGATCATATGGTATCAAGGTTTAGACATGCCCGGTCACCACCACTATACTTTTGTGGCCCATAAATTAGGACACAAACAAATAACTTACTCCTTTTGAAAAACAATATAGCTACTAAATTTCTTATCTCTAATTCCTACAAAGAATAAAGCGTGACATGTTCAGTTCAGTAGAAGCTGTATACAAATAAAATACTTAAAAATGCTATAGCTAGAACTCACTTGGCCATAAGCAAACATACAGCTGTAATAGCCTGCTAAACAATTCTCAACCATTGGGACACCAGCCACTTTGAGTAGGTTCTCCTGTTAAGCACCAAATGCATCACTCTATCAAAGCTATGACATCATGGAGTAGGACCAGAAAAAGGGTGAAAATACTTTGTACCCGGCTGACATGCTCATCAGCAATGAGATCAAAGGTGAAACGAGACTCTGAATGTCCAATCCAAGTAATGTTTTTGGCAGCTGTCCTGTCTGATGCATCTGCTGTGTCCTTGCAGGGTTATCTCAGAACTGCTAAGTGGCCGAATTCGAATCACAACCTACTTAAAGTAAGAAAATGAGAACACAACAAGACAGACCGATTTTAATGGAACAAAAGCAAATTAGAAAACCTGATATGGCAAAGAAATTCATTTGTTTCCACTAAAAGCAACATTGGAATGTAACCTCAGACGAGATAAACCAATTTTCACAGATAATAATGCATTTCAGAAGCTAATACTGAAAAAGATGAAATTAAGCCAAAAATAATACTTTTTTACTGTTTCCTCTACCAATCAGAGTGTACGACGACTATGCCTCCAAGACCCTAACTTTCAATCCAAGAACCTTCAAGTACCTGCACATTGTGATCCTTCCAGAAAGACGGGTCTTCCCTCGGCTCGAACCTCTGCATCGGCAAGCCACGCGGAGCGCCTCCCCGGTCACAATTCCCTGTCGCCTCCGCCGCCAGGGAATCCGCCGTGGGTTCTTTAAACCTAACCCCGCTGCCGACGCTCCCAGGTTCTACGACCGCCGGCATCCTAACCCGAAGAAAACCAGAAGCAAAAGAAAGAATCGAGAAAAGAAGACCCTAATTTTCCGCAGCAGCGGCCAGGTTCCAAGACGGGATCGTGAAGGCCAAGCCAAAGAGAAGACTGATCTGGAGGAAGAGAAACGGGGATTTGGGAAATGGGATGAACGTTGCGATACAACCGAGTCGCTTTATATGGCTTTAATGGTTCTTTACTTGGATCGGACGGTCCAGATGTGCGAAATGGACGGTCGAGATCGGGGCAATTCAAATTTCGCGACCGTTGAGATCCTGACAGAGGTCCCGTTGGTTCCGTTCCATGTATTGTCGGATAGTCTCCAATTATTGTATAGTTTCGATTTCAATCCAACGGTTTATAGGAAACAGAAGATTGATCTTATGGTACATATGTGGAAAATAAGAAGTTTGGATAGAATCCCAATGAGGGGAAGAAGCAAAAGGATTCAGTCATATATATCCTTGTAAATTTGTATGCATATTTATCATAGATTTTAATATGATATATTTGACCCTTTAAATATAAGATCCTCAGCCACAAATATCCATGCTTTTCTTTTTGCTTCATTGTGTGTTGTCAGAACAACGGAGCATTTAAATCTGAGACAGTATATTCTGGTCTTATCAAAAGATAGCATCAACAGAATTGCTTGAATCATGCAATGAAATCTAAAACCTTTCCTACATTTACATATAAGGAGGTGGATAGAAGAAGAGCATAAACTTGCTTTTATTGATTCTGAAAGGCAAATCAAAGTGCTACATGATGTTCTTCTTGATCACACATTTTCGACCCCAATGCCAAAAGTGATTTCTAATTTGCCTTACTTGGCATTGTAGTAAGACCAAAACCATATGGAAAAAGAGGGTCATAATGTGGATCATCAAAATTCATAGGGAGTTGCTCAACAGATTTAAACCATGTCCGAGAAAGCTTGCCGGAAAAGCCATAGTCACCAAAGAGAACATCTGCTACACCTTGGCCTTCCGTGCCAGGGAGCCATGCTGCCACCAGGGAATCAATCATGCCGATGTATGGTTCGATCACGATGGGCCTCCCGGAGATTATAATGACGACACACTTGATGCAGCTGCACACGTTCTGAATCACGCTCGGACCGGGATAGGGAATGGTGAGATTTAGATTGTCTCCGTCGGTTTCTGCATATGGATGCTCCCCAACCACCACTATTGCATAGGAGAACATGCTTTGCTTTACAAACTCTGGATCAGGGTTCTCAGAAAAAATGACCTCGGTGCTTGGATCGACCGTGGACTTAACAGCATCAAGGACAGTGGTTCCTGTTAGAGACAATAATTTAAATAGTTAGCATAGACTATTTATTATGAAAGATGGGGATAGCAAAGCGAAGGTCATGTTTTATCCTTTTACCGATCGTATTATTGTTTCCGCTAAGCCCTTGCCAAGTAATTGTCCACCCACCACACTGATAACCCAAGTTGTCAGCATGGCTTCCAGCAACAAGGATTTTCTTTGCCTTCTTTGGAAGAGGGAGCATTGGGTCATTGGCAGACTTCCCATTTTTCAAAAGCACAAGTGATTTCCTCACAGCTTCCCTAGCCAGATCACGATGTTCCTGTTGAAAGAAAAAAGGAACCGTTAGACTGACTATTTACGAACATGCGTATCAAGTTGGACAGTAGATGATTGAGTTTCCTTTTGCCATTTTACATTTGTCCCTGATTGATAGAACTTTTAACCACGAGAATGATTATAAAAGTTGAGGAAGTTGCTAACCTTCTTCCCGAGCTGATCAGCTAAACTAGGATCGGCATATGGATTCTCGAAGAGACCCACGGTGAATTTTACACGAAGAATCCTCCGTACTGCATCATTTATTCGGCTCATGGGTATTACATTATTCTGGACTTGGTAGGTCAGATCTTTGATGAATTCTGTGTAGGCAAATGGAATCATTACCTACAAGAGATACAGTACTTGGCTATCAATAAGGAAATTCAAGTTTAAATAAATAAATGTATAAGAGGAAATAATTTATAAAAAAAACAACAACAAACCATGTCGATGCCAGCATGTATTCCAGCCTGGATTGAATAAGAGTAATTTGCATGTGGTGGGGAAGTTATCCTGTCAATTCCTTGCCAATCAGAGATTACAAATCCCTTCAAGAACAAATAACAAATATAAAAGCCATTAAGCATCTTGCTGACCAACATAATGACCAAAATTTATGCATCTGGTTGTTAAATTAGAAGGTCCACTAACCCTGAAATGGAGCTTGTTTTTGAGAAAGTCGGTCACTAGATAATGGTTAGCATGCATCTTCACCCCATTCCAACTTGAAAAGGAAACCATCACTGTGGAGACACCCTTTATGACAGCACTGTAGTAAGGAGGCATGTGAATGCTAAGCAGTCCATGTTGACTGATAATGGTGTTATTTTCATTGATTCCTTTGTATGTTCCACCATCACCAACATAATGCTTAGCACAGGCAGCAACATTTCTCCTGCAGGAATTGAAGAAAAATACATTCATTTAATCTCAATCTATAAAAATCGAGTATCATTCATTGAGTTTGGTGCTTTACACACTTAAACTAACTTATTAATAAAATAGCAAAAGATCTGTCCAAAAACATGAATATGCTTATCTATGATAATAACTCGATTACTTTGAACTATCTGAGATTTGAGATACTGAAAAACTTTCTCTGGATAAAACATGGGCTGTCAACAAATATGGAGGGCATTCAGATTTTTAACCAAAATCGGTCTTGAAAAAACAGGACTTTGTAGTAAATCAGCTAATAGCAGCATTGATCAGATCTACAAGATTCATCTGATCTACATACGGTTAAACCACGACAATCTCAGAAGCAAATAAGCAATAACCCTTATCGTGCAATGTTGATGTCATCTTCAACATAAGAATGCAAACAGGTTCCAAGAGATGCATGTGATTCCTTATGGAGGGAGTAAAACATTTCACTAGATTCGTATGGCCACTGATAGAATCTTAAACTTGTTCACATTGCTACAAAAAAATACCATACTTTCCAGCAACAAAAGGAACTCCTTTTCGAGAATTTGCTGGAATGTCTCCTTGCAAGCCAGGGATAATCTCAGTCATTTCTTTAACAAGTTTAGGATCTTCACTGTAGCTTTCATAACAGCGACCCCACCTGGGATCTCTGCAAACCTGTAAAAGCTCAAAAGAAACTCTATTTTAAAAGAAGATTAATGCTTTAAATGAAATTATTTGATAACATCATCCGTTTATGTATCTGTTACTTGGAATTACAAAATCAGCATAATGCAAATACAGTTATTACCGCAACACATGGAGCAAACACATAGGGAATTCCTGTCGCTCTAACTTCAAGAGCAGTGGCAGCACCAATTTTCTTCACAAGTGCTGGATCCCTGGTCAAAGCAGATTCAATATCAGTGACAAGATTCTGAAGTCTTTCTGCAATACCTAAAAGCACATTTATTTATTGGATCCATTTTTGGGTGAGCAATGGCAATATATTTAAATTGTTGGTTACATATTAGAAATTGTTTAGCCTAATAGGCCGAAAATCTCGAGCATTAGTAACAATGTTTGCTTCCATATGACAATTGGAGGAGTTACAAATTGCAAAGTAATTAAAAATGCATTTGCAATGTTACTAATCAATTCTGGGAAAGACTGTTAATTGTGGAATAAGGCATTGACCAAAGGCATACATTGGTGTGGAAGTTGTCAAACATGAAAGATCGGAAAACTGTAAGACCTAGGAAAATTTTGACCATACTGCAACAGATATAGTTCAAAAAGTATCTGCATTTTGATCAAAATATGTTGGCTGAAGAATTGTAAATTCTTTTGGTGGCTAGATTTCCCTCATATATTTATAAACATTTAACATTACATCAAGCATAAATAAAGGACATGCTGCATTTATTTTCTGTGAACCAAGTGGCCAGTGATTATATCACAGTAATCTGGAACACCTTATTCTCAACTCAATGTGCCTAAAGACAGGCAGTCACCATTCAACATGAACCTGCACCTCTTGCCACATTGAATGATAACTAAAGCACATGAAATTCGATTCCCTTGTTCTATCTAGCTCATCTTCACCAAAATAGGGCTGAAAGATAGAAATTGCACTGACATTCTGACAAAAACATGTGTACTACGAAAACACTTGCCTGGTGGCTCCAAGTCCAACATTATGAGGAAACACGGTAGCTTTGTAGACATTGCTGTGACCGTGGACGGCATCAATGCCATAAATTATTGGGATTCCCAAACGGGTAGAGAGAGCAGCCTTTTGCATGCCATTTACCATATTCACCCATGTCTCAATAGAAGCTTGTGGAGCAGGCACACTACCTCCTCCACTCAGAACACTACCTGCAAAGAATAGTCAGCTCAATAAACAACTTTCTATTTTCATATTCTGATTTTGAAGAGAAAGAAGCATTTATACCTATAAAGTAAGTCTTCAAGACATCAGCAGTTGCATTTTCCCTCTCAATCTGTGACATTTGACCAATTTTCTCAGCAAGAGTCATGCGTTTGAGTAAATCATTTATTCGAGCATTCAATGGCTGCTTGGGGTCCTTATACTTCAAGTACTCTGCTCCTCCCAATGTCCCCCTGCATCCTAAGATCAAAAGAACGAGTAGAAGTTTTTGCAGGCCCTCCATCCTCATATGATGCCACAGAGCTCCACTAATTGCTTAATCCTGGAAGAGAGACTGCTTAAGAAAGAAATACTTAAAGAAAAACAGATCGATCTTTTTTCCTATTGTAATGAAAAAGCATTGACAACATCTACACCGAACTATCCATAAAAAAGCAAATAAAGTCATCATCAATTAGAGCTTTAAACCTACAGCAGGAATTGCAAAATGCAGTTGGGACATTAAATCAGTGAGGTAACTGATCACCACAAGTGGCAACAAAAGCACGATCCATATCCTAACTGTATTCGATTTCGAAGAGGACAATACTAAAGCTCAAAAGAAGTCAAGATGCGAGGACACAGTATAAGAGTCCAGTGTCAAATGAAGCAACATAATCTAAGGAAGATAAGCAATAGAAAAGCCCAAAACCAAAAGCACCAGCAAGATTATAAAGTTAGTGCACTAAAGCTTATACAACTCCAAGAATCACAAAATTTCATTTTTTTCGCCGAAAGGTTATCATCGGTCAAGGCAATGAAACCAGAAACCTCCTTGTTCTTATATTAATCTTTTGGTGTACATTTTGATGAGGATCAATGCAAAGAAAATGGCATTACATCTCGAGGCACATTAATAGATTAAGGTCTCCATGGCCACTTGGCACAACAAAAACAGAGATGCTCGGATCTGCATCTAGGGTTTGACGAAGAATCAGATACAGCTAAAAAGGACTAATCTTTTGAGACTAATGGGAGCCAACTACAGCAGAAAAGATAAGACCAGCTAGAAGGCTGCAGTCATATAGCAAAGAAAAAGCACTAAGCACCAAACCAACCGCATTAGATTATGCAGAAGCTACCATTGATTGCAAAGCTTATCCTTTAACCTCATCAAAGCAGAAACGGTAGTTCGCAAGATAACCGGACCATGACCTCTAGGCTGTCGGTGCGCAAAAAACGCATTTTCGAAGACTAAAAAGACGGAAAATATGGTAAAATTATGCCCAAAACTACAACTTTTTAACTCAAAAAGGTTCAAGATATAGGGAAAATTCGGTTTTTGGGACCGTCTTTGAGTAATCCAATGAACCGCAGTTTCGTCTTGGTTGATTAGTATGCTCAAACTTGCATCATCTTCCTTTTTTCCCTTTGAACAAAACATCACCTTAAAGTCTCAAATATGAAAGGTCGGAAGTAGCAAAGTAGTTAAAAGATAAAAAGAAAGAGATCGTACCAAGCATTATGACGGAGGAAGACAGAGAAAGAGAGGGTGGCGTTATGGGATGGATGAAGACATGATTTATAGAGATTTCATAGAAGGGAAGCTGCGACCCTACCCACTGGATTGGCTACAGCTTGGAAATATAAGCGTCAGAGATGTACTGCCTTTGTTCGAGCTCTGCAGTCACTCACAAATCAATTTTCTCAGTCAAATTTTTGACCTTTCTACATAAGATCTAATTTTACAATTGATTATTTAAATGAGCATAAGAGAGGATGCGAAGAGAATTTGTGATCCTACGTATCTTTGCGTGGAGATTGGAAGATTTTTGTGACCCAAGTGAATATTTCTGTGGTGATTGGTTGAACACGAGGAGGATTTAGGTATTTGGATGGAGAAGATTGTGTTACTCTGATGAGAACTCTGTTGAATGTGGACTATGACTTCAGATATAGGCAGTCTCATCCTAACCAGTAAGTAGCTCATGTAGCAATCCTTATATCATCTTACAATGATTTCCAAGGTATGCTCTCTTATAGCAGCTGAAATCCAACAGAGGTGGCTGTTATTTTCAGAGTTCCATCTTTATGTTTGTTTTTGAGTGATGAACTCAATAAGATTGATTCCATGGTTGAAAGCTAGGAGAGAAGTGACAACAACATGACTACTCCCACTGGTGGTAATCTGATGTAGATTATGGTGCCCATTGGGTCCAATAGACATTGTCACTGTGGCCCAGCCATCATCAATGGCATAGACTTTGCAGTAAGTTTGGATAAGAAAAGAAGAACATCATCAACCATGGCACACATGGTTTGTCTTTTAGTATTTCCATGGCACACTTTGCCACATGGTTGATACTTTGATGTCTTCCATGAGACAAGAAAAAGCAGTCCAAGGGGCACATTTGTAAACCACTTGCATCTTGTCCCAATGGATGAAGTAGGTAAGTGATGCCTGTGAAATTTTCTTGTTAGTCTTGAGAACATCACTTTTTTGAACTAAATCTCAGTACACTTAAATCATAGAATGAGAAAGTTAGAAAAAAGAACAATTGTTTTTTTTTTTTCAGGTTAAAAGCTGAGATCTACAACCTTGAACAAGTCTAGATCTGGAGGATCAGGGGTCAAATGTCATGCAATGGACAGAGTCATGTTCTGCCAACATCCAATTAAATGCAATTCACCCATCCAAGTTCATAAGTCAAAGCTGTCCTTTGCCATTGGTCAGGGCATATCCAATACCAATGATATCTGATTAAAATATGTTCTATTTTGAATGATATCCCATGTGAGTTGTGGAATCCAAAAGCATTTCTTGATCCATCATATTTTTCTATGGCTTTATAGGAAGAGGTGAGGGTAGAATTCCTGAGTTGGGGTTGGAACTCATTGACCTCCACTCTCTGCAGCATATGGCTCCAAACTAATGTGAGATGTGAGATGTGAGATTTGATTGGTGAATGGGGAGAAGCCCATATATTTGGATCCTGATTAAGTTAGAGCTGTTTGAATTGGTGGTGATTTCATGACAACCAATCTCATAATATATTCTTAGGACCTCCAAATGTATGGTTGATAGTTTTATAGTTTTCATAGAAGGAAGAGAAGGGCCTGCCTGCCACATGTGTTTCCAGGTTTCAGAAGATTGTTTTGACTCACAAACAGGACACAAGACTCATTCAAAGCTCTTGGAGATGAATCATCCACCTCCTAGTGTTCTTGATTGGATGGGGGGGTAGAGAAGCTTGGTCATATCACAAGTATTTACATTCCAGTCACAAAATACAGCATTATTCTGGTTGATATGATGATGCATAGTATACAGAGATTCTGCATCAGAAGGAAGGGGCCAAACTTATTTCTGGTTGTAATGGCCACTTTTGCAGTTTCTTTTGAACTATGACAAGAGTTGCACTTCTTCATTGGCTTCCTCAAACTTCTTATTCTCATTTGCAGTCTCACTCTCTGCAAAAGCAAAGTATTGGGTGATCACAATTCTTTGCACTGTACTGTACAATTATACTGCACAGTACACATGTTATAAAGTATAATGGACACAGTAAGCAACAAAGGGGACAAATAAACCATAAGAAAACATAGGAAAACAATCTCAGAGTATACTGATGGAATGACTCATGAGAACTGACAAGAAGAGTGAAAGATGTGTCTGTTTACATTTGTTTTCATACAATTATGTTGGTTAAGCCCATGTATTCTGTGATGCCGATTGATGACAGGAGAAGACTAATATCTAATGCAAAAGAGAGTGTCAATACAAAGGAGGAGAGCCTACTCAACAGGTGAAAAGCTTGAGATAGAACAAATGACATCAAGACTTCCCCTGACAGAAAATGGAACTGTTGTTGTTGATAATGATTAGGAGTAGTAACACATAGTTGATTGAAAAGTTGAACAACAATTCCAAATGATGTTAGGCTGATTAAGAGAAACAAAATTAGAACAGATCTCAGCATCAATTTATGTTCCCAGTTTCCCTAAAAGGAGTCTGAATTTTTTTTGTTATCATCTCCCATAAAAACAATCAATGCAGGAAACAGAGCAGCAGTTGAAATAGCTCAGGATTTGCAGATTGGAGACCTCTAATTGCCCAATCCAGTCAAGCTAATATTTAGTTTTGGTTGTGGCCAAGGATTGTATTTGCACCACAAGATAGATTCCCACTGAGCTTTTCATCTTCCTTCCAAGCTGAAGGCATATAAATGGCACTCAATTCACTAAGTTGTCCTCAGTAGATCAGTTGCTTATATTTGTTTCACATGGCTGTCTTCTCTTGAAAAGATGACCATTAGGATGGATGTCTCCATAAAGACAACATAAACAAAAGGCTGATGCTTACCATTATCCCAAATTAGCCAAACAAACATTTTTTTTTTTGTCAATCAACATAATATATTATATCAGTTCGAGATCGAATCACATTTATTGTCTTATATTGTTATCCTCTCAGAAGATGCAGATGCTGCTGTTGCTATATATATGTTCAACCAATATTGTCTTATATTGTTCGACTATTTTAGCTACATATGAACAAATGTATGCTTTCTGTAACAAAAGCTATTTGCATTATGTGACTAAGGTACTAAAAGGTGATCCAACCTGCAAAGATTTCTAGATCTTTGTCTTCTCCTTCGTATATGTTATAAATATTCATGTGTGTGAGATGAAAAGAGATAAACTAAGACGATAACCTCATATCGTTCAGGAGTGAAAAACTTGAGTTTTTAAGTTGATATATATTAATCGTGATTAGTTTGATTCTAACTCATCATTTCTAGATTTTCAACATGGATAAAATTTGATTTAAACTAGTCAAATATTTAAACAAAAAAAGAGGATAGAGCTATGGTTTGACCGAATAAAGATAAGTAGATGCGGATGAGTAAAAAGATAATAAACTTGAATAAGGACAGATGTTAGAAATTTTGATGTATGTTAATCCTGACTAGTTTGACCGAGACTCTCCTAATCATATATCCAAACGAAAGTGAAAGCTTGGCATAAGCTGATCTTTTTGTCTGTTAAGCTGAGAAAGAAGCTATTTTGTTTGCTTGGAAGGTAAAGATGTGCAAGACCAAGTTGCAGACTTGCTCTCGTGAGGGTGTGGTGCAGTTGAATCCTCTTGTTCTTGAGCACGAGGAGCTTTGGATGGTGATTGAGGTTAACTATACGAGAAAATCTCTCTATTATGTTGAGAAAATGTATTTAAACTATTTCACTTCTTCAATAATTCTTTTTATCTTCTATTATTTTTATTATAGTAAATGAGTAGTGAGAAAAGCGAAGTTTCGCTCTTACCTTTGGCCAGTGACCAACGCCGTTAAGAAAAGTAAAACTTCGCCCTTGCCTTCGACCAGCGACTAACGCCGCTGCAGCCAAATTCCTAAGAGGCTCCATGGCCAATCCTCATCTTCCTCACCGCGATAGTCTTCGTTGATCCGTCAACAGTCGACGGACTTAAGGAGAATAAAGGACGGACTTAAGGGGAACGAAAGAAACGCCTATGCCCTCACAGCAACAACAATCGTAGTAACAACAGCGATCTGCTTTTGCTCTACTCACGACTCTCGCTCGTAAACCATTCTTTGCATCGATCCAAGATTGATATCCTTGACAGGAACATCATCTTGCGGAGGCAAGATAGAAGATAAAATTTCTTCACCTATACGAGAAAATCTCTCTATTATGTTGAGAAAATGTATTTAAGCTATTTCACTTCTTCAATAAAAAATTTTTAATAATTTTTTTTTATTTTATTTTTTTTATAAAAAACAAGAGGATCCAATCAATATAGGTCAGCTGTAATGTGGAGATGCCTGCATCGGCAGTGTTATGGGCCATGTACTACTCTTCTCGGTGGCCACACGAATTCGTCAATGCTGTTGGCAGGTGTTCAAACGCAGAGTACCCATTTGCTTTTACTTTTCCATCTATGCTCTGTTCGTGTGCTTCACGATTCAACATTTTGGCTCTGATTCTTTTATGTCCAAAAACACTATTATTTATCGGATAATTCGAAGAAGGGTAAAACCGTACTTTCCCGAGCGTAGAAAGAGAAAATACGTTACGCAAAATTAGTCATCAAATAAAAAAAAATATATATTTTTTGAATATTTATTGGTTCTTTTCTTTTTCTATGCGTCCTCAAACTAGTTTACATTGATAGCAAATCAACTAATAATCATGATTATTATGGTTTGAAGAGTTTTTATGATAGTTTCGATCAGAAGAAATATTCTATGATATAGATGGAAATATATATTTTTATTAAGTTGATGTCAGCACAAATTATCCATCTAGATCTGGTAGATCTATCAATCAACCATGAAATGGAGCATGGGTTGACCGGTGACATAAAAATGGCAGCTTTCCCTGTTTGC